CATCAATGAATTATACAGAATCATTTTAAAAATATAATAAATGTAAAATTATAACATAAGTCAGAATAAATAGGTCTTGTTAACTTCAAATTCAAAAATGGTGTGGTCTGATTGGATTTAGAATACATTTTATGGTGAAATATTATTATAACTATAGAAGATCATTATAAATGTAAAATAAAATAAATGTTTAAAAAAGGTATTCTAAAATCCCAATGACTTATTTTGACATCATAAATTTTAAGTTGATATAAAAAGGAGCATATTCATTTTAATAAAATAATTATTCATAATATTATATTCTTACTTTTAATAATGATTAAAAATTTTAAAATATTATCATATTGATTATGCAGGACCATTTCAAAATCATAATGATAATATAAATAAAATTTAAAAACTTAATAATGATAATGATAAACAATCAAAATCATATAATAATTATAATTGGAGCTACAAAAAACCAAATCCATGCCACTCCTGCGGCAGAAACCACAGAAGGGAAAATTGTCTTTTCAAGAATGCCACTTGTTATAAATGCAACAAAATTGGGCACATTGCTCAAGTCTGTAGAAAAGAAATAGTGAATTTTATTAATAATAAAACAAACGAATATAATCCAGAATTTTGGGTGGATGTCAAAATAAACAACAGCGATATAAGAATGGAATTGGATACTGGAGTTGGGGTCAGTATAATTAACGAAATAGATTGGAAAAATAAACTTAATCATCCTGAATTAACAAATTGCATGCTAAAACTTAAAAGTTATACAGGAACCAATATGCCACTATTAGGTCAGACTGTAGTAAAAGTACAATATAAAGGGCGAACATTAGAACTACCTCTCATAATTACAAAAGGATATACCAAAATTGGATAACTAAATTTCCCAAAATGACTGAATTTGAAAGGACCATACAAATAAATAATATTAATATACAAAATGAATTTCCTCAATTATTTACCAAAGAATAAGGCTGCTTGAAAGATTTTAAGGCACAAATATATATGAAAAACGAGAAACCAATTTTCTGTAAATCACGTCCCGTACCATATGCATTAAAAGATAAAGTAGAAGAAAATTTAGATAGATTGCAAAAAATAGGAGTAATAGATAAAATTAATCATTCACTTTATGCATCACCCAATTGTTCAAAAGAACTATAAATCAAAATATTAATATTTGATCTAACAATCCTCTAGGTTTAAATTTTAGTAGTATTTCAGCGGGACTTTGTTCAGTTTCTGTCCCTGGTGTATTTCTGTAATTGTAGAGAAAAATAGCTAGGCTGGTTTCTAAATCCCTTTCGTTTCTTTTATTCATACTCTGTTTAAAAGTTCGAACTAAACGTTCGGCCATGCCGTTTGTCTGAGGATGATAAGGACTTCCATGTAATAATTGAATTCCGTTTTTTTCACAAAAATCCTTGAAATCTTTGCTGCTGAATTGGGGTCCGTTATCAGAAACGATTATCTTGGGAAATCCGAATCTTGCAAAAATATTTCTTAATATTTTTATCGTGCTTTCGGCTGTAGTGCTAGTCATGGGAACTATTTCTGGCCAGCGACTGCTAGCATCTATCACTACCAACCAATAATGATTTCCAGCATAATCAATATGTACTCGGTGCCATGCTTTTGGTGGTTTTGGCCAATTTTATTATTATCATTATGTTTCTCTTCTAAATGATCGATTTTAGTTTCATCATTTTGTATTTTTTATTGCTATTTCTACTACAATAGCTATCTGAATAGCTTTATTTATGTCTATATCGTCTTCGGATAATAATCTTTGTAAAATTTTTGGATTTTTTTATTCCGAATATAAATTCATCTCTTAATGCAGTATTTAAATATTCCCCAAAATCACAAGTCGTTGCTAATTTTCATAGATTTTATATAGTCTATTAGTTTTTCATCATTTTGTTTATTATATTGATAAAATTATATCTCTCTACTATTTTATTAGGTTTAGGATGAAAATGCTTGATTAAAATATTATGTATTTCCAATACCTCTTTGTTTCCCGGACTATCAGGTGCACATAAATTTACCAGTATTTTGTAAGTATCACACCCTATTGTTGTTAATAACAGAGATTTTTCTTATGATGATGTTAAACTTGGTTGTGTGTTTTTAAATTCTTGAAATAAGTTGTACCAATCTTTGTAACACAGGTTTGAATCCATTAGGCCGCATTCATAGTGGATCCGATCCAACACGATTTAACAGCTGATCGATTTTTAAAATCGGTTTATGAGAATCAATTTTTCTTTATTAAAACCAATATTTTATTATCATGTATAGAATTAAAGACAAAATTAATATTATTACAAAAAAATTGATCTCATAAACAGATTTTAAAAATCGATCAGCTTTTAAATCGTGTCGGATCAAATCCACTATGAATGCGGCCTTAGACTTTTTATAGACTGCGCCATTGATGTATTTTATTAGTAAACGAATTTTTCTTGTTCTTTTATTTTGTAATCTGAAATCAAATTCATCATTTATTATTCAAATTAATCTCAAATTATATAATAATAAATAAAATAAACATTTTACAAAAAATTTAATACACATCAATTATCAATAGAATTCGTTATATTGTCGTTATAAAATCATATAATTTAGTAAAATGGTAAAGTTAAAATTATGAAAATACGATTGGAGGAACTTTAAAAATAAAACATTATGAGTTAATAATTTTAATAAAATATGAAAGTATTTTTATTATATTAATATTATATAATGTTAAATTAAATCTATAAGCTTTTATAAAATTAAAATATATAATTATATTATATGATGTCAAAACAAATCGTGAGACGTTAAAAGGTTAAACATTTATTTTATCCTATATTTATAATGATCTTCTATATAATTATATTTCAGATAGTATACTAACTAATATATGTGAACAGTGTAATTTATATAGTTTTCAGCAAAATAAATCAATGGCTAAATCTTGATATAAATGAATTAGAACAATTTTTAGGCATACATTTTTCTTCTTCTTTAGTTAGAGTTCCTTCACATAGACAATATTGGTCTACAGGGCGCTAGATTACGGAAACTATGTCTCATACCAGGTTTCAAATATTGCGAATATATATACATTTTAACGATAATTCTCAACTTATCCAAAGAAATCAAGATGGATATGATAAATGTTTTAAAATTAGACACATTATTTCAGGTATTCAAAACAATATGCGAAAATTAGAGATGGTGGAAAGAGTATGAGTTGATAAAATAATCACCCCGTTCAAAGAGGGGAGTCCTTTAAAATAATATATAAAATAGAAGCCTCATAAATGGAGTATCAACGTTTTTGCATTAACCGGATCCTCCGGCATTGTATATGATTTTAAGATTTATGTGGGAAAGCAAACTAATTCAACACCATCTGAATTAGGGATAAGTGCTGATATAGTCCTCCAATGGCTAAAAATATCCCGAAATTTCAAAATCATAAACTCTTTTGCGATAACTACTTTTCTTCAATAGCCATTGGCTAGAAAATTAAAAGAAATCGGTATATTTATGGTAGGGACTATTAGAAGCAATCAGATGAAAGATTATAAGTTAAAATGCGATAGAGACTAAAAAGAAGGTCGCAGGAGCTATGTATGTATAGTTGATAAAAAAGAAAATATAATAATTGCCAAATAGTATTCCTTTGTCGGTGTTCATCTGATAGTAAATATAAAAAGAGGGTAACTAAGTAGCAAAAAATATCTTGAAATGCCAATATCAAATATATTAAAAACATATAATGAAGGAATGGGTGAAGTCGATTATAATGACATGCTTGTTGAACGCTATCAAGTTAGGTATTAAAGGTAAAAGGTTCTTCCTGAGAATCATTTTTCATCCCATTGAAATATGTGTAGCAAATTCATGGCTTTTATATAGCGGCGAATCATAAAAAAAGAGAATAAATTCATGAAACTTATCAAATCATATTGTTAACGCATTGTTATCGGCAGGTAAAATTAGTAAAAGAAAATCAGGGAGACCTTTGAATGAAATGATAATTAAAAAAATTTTCTAATGGCTCCTATATCTGATATCAGATATGGCAATATTCGTCATTTGCCAGATGCCTGCGAAACGAGGCAAATATGCAAGTTATGCATACTCCATAACAAAATGTGCAAAATATAATATATATTTATGTTTTAATCAATATAGAAATTGTTTACGAGATTTAAATATCTGTATTTTTTTATATTACAATATGCCTCATTATGCCAAATTGCATCATCATTTTCTTACTTGTGTATTAAAAATAAAAGTTGTAAAAATTTTGGGCATCTATGTGTGTATAAATGAATAATTTATAGATTTTTTTTTTAATTATTAAAAAGTGGAAGTCAAAGGGTTAAAATATAAAATTATTTTCTAATAAAATTCTCGAATACAAATAATATTTGTGGTAAATAAATTGGATTCGTTTGCTATGGCCCAAAATAGTCTAGATTGTGATTTAGTATTAATTCTTTAGCTTGTCAATTAATGTTCCCGATTACGATTTTAGCCAACACAATATTATGTAAGGCTGGAGATTTTGTTCATAGATGGCAGAAAGATTTGATAGGGTATTGTGAAATTATAGATATTATCCTATTAAAATATATGAGATGAGTAAATGTATGTAGTGCGAAATCGCACCATTTAAGCCGATTTTTGAAAACGGCGAACTCTCTATTTTAGTCAAAAAAAATATTGCCTAAGCCTCGAGATTTGGCTAATTATGTCCAAACCTTTGTGTCATCTATGGGCAATATCTTCACTTATGTAATATTTTTCTCTAAAATTTTAATTGGTCCATCTTAAATCGTCCCAAATTGGGCCAATATAAAAAAAACAGATTAGCTTAGTGGTTGAATAAAATAAGACAAATATGGATTATCTATTCCATGTTATGGAGCCTAGTTTTCTACAAATAACTAAAATTAAATATTTTTTTAATTGTAAAAAAAATATTCTACCAAAAATAAAAAATATTAGAAGTCGACTAATTTGATCACTCTGGTTTTTGGTCGCCGTTATTCAACTACAACTATTCGACTAATTAACAACACTACCTAGAATTATATTAGTAAAAAAATTTCTTTAAGGTAAAAGGCGAAATACAATATATCCGTGATTTTAGGTATATAAAGCCTTTTCAGAAATTGAGAATTTTAACTTACTAAAAAAAGACTTATAGAGTACGAATAATTTTTTCTAAAATTGAAATTAATGTTTGAAAAATAAAAATGTTTTCACACATTCAACAAAAAATGATTCACATTTATTCTAGGTATTTACGTTTTTAATAGCAATTTATTTCATGGATAACAAACCTAATTTTGAAACATATTTATCTTGTGGCAAACTTGTCTAGCTTAGAAAAATTTTATAAAAATATTTACATTTAAAATAATAGGTATCCGTTTCGTCATCAGGAAGAGGAATAAACGGAGGTATGGTAGATAAAATGTTTTCCCATTCTATGTTATTTTTGGTAAAGAATTTTTGCCTCTTAAGATCTAAATTTAAAATAAATAATAGTAAGGTATAAATAAATAATAGTAAGGTATACGTTTTATTAAACTGATAAATCATAAGTTATAAAATAAGCTAATAACGGTAAATTAACGTTTTAATAACATCACTCTCTTGTAAAATTAATAAAAAGTGCTATTAGAAGCGGAACCTTACAATTATTTTAAAGAACTTAAAAAAAGAATGAAAATCAATGAAGTCGCGAACAGGCTATTATTTTGGCAAGCTGAATAAATGTTTCAATCAATTTTAGACTTTTTGAGAAACTTATTGACCCTCCCTAGAGGAGTAAAAGAAAAAAAAATTAAGGATCGATACACCCACAAACATAAAAAATAGTTTTATTAAGAAGGGGGGGGGGTGTAACCTTTTAAAGATGCTCTCTCGTGAGGTTTTAATCGTAACAAGGACATGATCGATTCTTTAGAGTAAGCCGATAATTGAAAATCCAATTCTAAAGGCCATAGAATAGCTGTATATTTTATAAAAAAATAATTTAAAAAAATGGTAAATATCAGAGTTGTTAAAGCTATTTTTAAAAGTAGCGCGCTACCGTAATAGCTATTTGTCAAAAAAAGTAGCGCACTACCGCTTTCGCTATTTGTCAAAAAAAGTAGCGCGCTATTAGCTACTTTTATAAAAAAAAATTTAGAAACAAATGAAACAAATTTTTTTTATTTTTTTTTTGCTTATAATGTAAATGTATAATAAATAATATATAAAAATCAACATTTATAAATATAAAAATATAGTTAGTTTAGATTATAAAAAAATAAGCAATATAAATAAATATTTATTTTAATTTGTTGCATTTTAATAATAATATCATTTCAATATTATCATCCCCAAGTCTAGAGCGACGATCAGAAAGTATAAGCTTTGCTTTACTAAATAATCTCTCGACACTAGCACTTGAGGGCAAGGGGGTATTAAATTTCATATATAAATTTTTAATATATGAAAAATTATCAAAAATATTCATCTCAATATTTTTTGATTGAAAAAAAAGATCAATTGGATTTTCTATTAAATCATCTTTAATTTCAAAAAAATTATGGATGTCTTCGTGGTAGATACTCGGCAATCTCTGTTTGTTGGAGTAAGATTATTCAGCTTCGCCATTAGCCTATCTTATTTATAATTTGATATAAATTATGATAATCATAATATTACTAAAATATGTGTGTATTTAGTTAATAAAAATTCTATAAATAATGTGAAATATTAAAATACTAAATATTTTATAGATTAAATAATAACCATTCCATTCTGATAAAAATCATAACTTAAAATAAATATTATAAATAAATTTGTGATATAACCTAAATGCCTTCAGGTAGTTAGACCCATTATCAGTAACCATCTTGCAAACTTTATTATGAATCCTAAAAGACTTGTGGATGTCAACAATTTTATTTGCAAGTACGTCATATGTCTGGCATCCTATAATCCTTTTAAGGGCTAAGGCTACAGATCTTCTTTTTAAAGTCCTAGGGTCTAACCAATGGCCTGTGATTCCCAAATAAGCTCTAAAAATATTTAATCAGATCAATTTATAAATATAAATAAGTTTTTACCTTCTGTTATGTGTCCAACTATCTGCCGTGGTACATACATAAGATATATGATAACTCTACTATTAGAGCATCTTTCATCACTTTGAAGTTGTCGGCTATTTTATTCATAAGTGTCTGGCGACATAAAACTGTTGTGCCAGGGGATAAAGTTTTAATCATCAGAGTAAATGATGGATTATCAACCAAAGACACTGGCTGAACTGTGTCAATAATAAAATCAACAATAACTTTATCAACCAATTTTTGTGAAATATTGGCATGTTTATTATCAGTTAATTTGGTTTGGATAGTATGTCTTTTTGAATGAAGATTCTCCTATACCAAATTTTTTTATATGTTTCTCTATTTCCTTATAGCAATTGGCGTGAACAGTCTAATAAAATAAATAATATTATAATGTAAAAATAACAATTTACCTTTAGGTGTTTCTTCAGGTTATAGCTACTCGATTGATTTGATGATATATTTTTTTTACATTTTAAGCACATGAATTTGGATCCAGATTTTGTTTAATATTTATTTTAAAAAATTTTTCAAATTTAGGGAATGGAAGAACGTTATTAGAGCTATTAAGTACATTTTCTTCCATTGAATCTTCTATATCTGAATCACTTTCAAGGATTTGGATATCCATGGACGATGCCATTTTAGATTATTAACACAGATTGAAAATATAAATTAAAAATTGAAAATTAATTTAAATTTCAAAATTAAATAATAAATTATAAAAATTATAATTAATTATGATATTATATTTAAATTTTCATGTTTATACTTACATTCATTATATTTTTTAAAAGTAGCGAAGTAGCGCGCTACTTTAACAACTCTGGTAAATATCGAATGCTTAAAAGAATTATTCTGTTAAATTATATTTTTTGTTAAACTAAATAGGATATTTAATTTTTTTTTATAATATTAGACATATTTGACAATTGACCTGAAATAAGGATAAAATTAGGGTTGGATAATTCTTGGGAATTTTTACCCGCCAACTTTCCCATGGGAATTTTGGGAATAAACGAGAATTAGCGGAAATTTATGGGAATTAATGATAAAAACTAACAATTTTCAATTTTTATACTATATATTATTCTATCCAAATAACAGCAGATAAATTATAATGCAAGTAATAAATATAATAAGACTATGCATTAAATGTTTAGTAAAATACATTATCAAAACTTGATTTCACTCGTACTATCATTAATCCTTTCAACGCCATTATCATTCTGATATTTCAATTCCTGATAAACTTTTTTCTTCCAAATGTTTATTGTTTCTAGAATGAATGAATATTTAAGGACAATTGCTGATTTATTAAAATATAAGTTATGTCGAATTAATACCAACATTTACTTTTTATCTTCTAACTTATGTCTTGGTTTAGAGTGTGTGCTTTCAAAAAATGACCATATACGTTCTGATGAAGCACTAGTAGGAGGTATTGATAAAATTCTTTGGACAATTGTAGATAATGATTTGGTTGTAGAGAGTCCTTTCCACCACCATGTTATTGCAGTAAGACATATCATTCCATCCCAAATTCTAGAGTTTATATAAAAACCATCCTTAGCTCGATATATGCCTAAATTTCCATTAATCAAACAAACATGTAAATTTAATTAGAAACACTTCATTACCGAGAGCCATGACTAATCTCATATCATAAAGGTTATCTCTTACAAATCCGAGATCCAATAAATTTGCAGAAAAATGAATCTCTTTACATCAGAATTCTTTTCCCTTTTGAATAATTATTTTTATCCTAAACTTTTCTGTATATCGCATATTAATATTATCAACAGATAATAATGCCTTGTTAGATTTGAGTACTAATATTTCAGCATATATTAGCCTAATAATTTCAAAGATCTTTATTTTCCCCAAAAAATTATCATCTTCCAGATTTTGGGTTTTAAGGGTTCTATCAAAAATATTATGAAGAATTGCCATTTCTGGTAAAATTTCTTGAATTTTAGCTAAACTCTATATTATTATTATTGCACCATCCCAGGAATTTTAGTGTTGGATAATCATTACCTTGTTTCTCTTTTATTTCAGAAATGAAATGATTAATTTATATTATTAACGTTGTAGCTTTTCTATTATTTATTCAATGAATTCATAGTCAATTCAATATATTTTCAATGAATAAATTAAGTCCATGTGCAATCCCTATGCATTGCAAAAGGGAATAGGTTTGCATATTTTTAATGATTTTTAAAAATATTTTAAAAAATTGGAATATTCACATTCAATAAATTCCCAAGGAATATTCCCGGGTACAAGCCTAGATAAATACATATTTTTTTAAATTAAAATATGCGGTTTTTTAATCTAGAATTATAATTTTAATGTAAAAAAATATTTTAAAATATAGTCTATGACAAAATAACAGAAATGATGAAATTTATTTAATTTTTTACTTAGATTCAAGATATTAGAAAATATGTTTTCCAGCTGGTTGTCGCTGAAGGGAGGGTAGCCGGTCAAGAATTCAAATAAGCAAACACCCAATGACCAAAAATCAGAAGAATAATCTAAATGTTTAAAATGTAATAGTATAATAATTAATAAATAACAATTTGTGCCTGAAATGATTATGAGTCTTAAAAAATAAATATCCAAATATCACCCCTTATTAAATTGTGGCTTAAATTTATTATATTTTATAGGGTTTACTTTAAATCAATTTTATAGGTAAGCGCTTCTATAAAAAGGCCATATAATTTCCAGTTAACTATAAAATGGTGGAGATTAGGGATGTAACGTAGGAAAAATTTACTGGTGAAAACCAGTTGTTAAACAATTTTCAAATGTATTTAAATACAGACGCAGGCTTAAAAAGTATATAGATATAAATATATGGCCTAAAAGTGCATCTATATACAGATATATCTTCCCAAGATATTTTTTTATTATAATCATGTAAGATGTGAATATTAATTTTATAAATAAACATATCATTTATAAATATATTATTTAAAACATTTTAACTATTGTAAAAGTAGAAAAAATTAAATTTTTTAAAAACAAAACTATAAATATTTTTTTATTCAGCTTGATACTCTATTATTTATATATAAATATAAAAAAATGTATAATTAAACTGTCCAAAAAAGAACTCTTCGCGGATTGAAAACTGAAATGCGCAAATTTTTTTTCCCTGATTGCTCAAAAATAAAAATACTTAAGGCTCAGAATTTTTATTGAATTTCACTTTCTTAAAATCTAAGACGATTGCTGAATGTTTCACATATTTTTCTGAGATTCATTATTAAATCAATATTTCAGTTTAATGCATTTTTTTCTGGGCTATACAGTATTTTTTATGGACAATTAAGTTTCTTATCTGAGCATTAAGAAATAATTCCGAACCTTCTGTAATTTTTCTGTGCTTTCACTGATTTTTTTTCTTATCATTTCAGTTTTAATTAGGAATCAAACAAAACTTGTCTTGAATTGGAAATATGAATTGTTTTAACACATTTCAATATTTAAAAACATTTTTAGTGTTATTTTTACTTGCCGTATTTATTGTAAAAATTTGTTAAGAAAAACGTATTATTTTTAAAAACTTTTTTTACAAATTACATTAAAACCTTTTTTAATAATTTTTAAAAATTGTAATAATTTCTATTTTTTAAGATGTCAAATCTCAATATCGTTAGTATATGAATCTACAGTTTCTGATTTGTTAATCTAACATTTGATATTATTTACTAACTTTATATACATAATCCTAGATACCTGATGAAAGATCATATTTCGTAGGGAGGGGGAAAGGGGTTTAACTGACATGACAAATAAATATCAAAGTTTTCACCCATCCCATCGAATTCTCTTAGATGTTTAGCTGGTCAACAAACAGATGTTAAAACTATTTAAATATTCAAGAACCATCTTTATTAGAACCTACTAAATTTGCGAAAAAAGGAGCGAAGAAAAGATTGAGTTGGCTGAAATATGGAGTAAATAATATTGGTCATCAAACCGATGTAAATGCAATAGCCCATGTTCTAAATATTTTAATGAGTTCCATTTATCGTTTCAAACGGGAAACATTTCCTGAATAGTATGACGACTCTCTTATTAATCAAAAAGATCGGAATAAAAAGGACTACATAAAACTTAAATCTAATATAATTGAATTGTTTGAAAATAATAATAACTACACTATAAAAAACATATTTAAAAAATATACCGTCACCTAAAAATCAAGGTTGTTAAAGTAGCGAGCTACTTGTAGCGCGCTATCTTTTTTAGTAGATTTTTTTAGCGCGTTCCTTTTAGGTTTTTCAAAAAATATAATGAATGTAACCATAAACATGAAAATTTAAATATATCATAATTAATTATAATTTTAATGATTTATTATTTAGGCTGCATTCAAAGTGGAGACGGATCCGTTTTTTTACATCCGTTCCTTCAAAGGTCAATCTCATTAAAAATGATATATATGTTCAAAGTGCGTCAGTTCCGATACCTTCCGTCTTAAAAACGGATCCGGCAAATTTTGAAGTCAAAACATTTTGACTTTTTAATTCGGCAAATTTTATAGAGCGTTATAACGTTACTTATAATTTTTTAAAAATGAAAATCAATATATATATCATTTTTAATGAGATTGACTTTTGACGGAACGGATGTAAAAAATGGATCCGTCTCCACTTTGAATGCAGCCTTAATTTTGAAATTGAAATTTATATTTTCAATTTGTATAAACCTAATCATCTGGTGTAAATTATTTAAAATGTCATCGCTAATGGATATCGAAATCGATGTAATTGAGTCAGACAATGATAATATTAATGGTGTGGAAAGGACCCTGAAGGAAAATATTCTTGATAATAATAAAACAAATCTTCCATTTTAAAATTAATGTTAAAAAAATGGTGACTACAAATTTATTTGTTTAAAATGTAGAAAAAATATATTCTCAAATAAATCTAGTAGCTAAAATCTCAAAAAACACCTTTATTTTTAAACTCTAATAATATTTTTATTTTGTAAGAATGTTCATGCGTTTTAAAGAGATAAAAAATTTTTGATATAGGAGAGACTACATCCAAAATGACCAATTCAATTCAAACTAAATTGATTAATAATATTGCACATGCCAATATTTCTCAGAAACTGGTTGATAAAGTCATTGTCGATTTTATAATTGATAAAGTTCAGCCATATCATTGCCTGATAATCCATCATTTACCATGTTGATTAAAACTCTATCCTCTGGAACAATTTTTTGTCGCCAGAAACCAATGATTAAGATAGCAGATAACTTTGAAGTGATAAAAGATGCTCTAATCGATTATGCTAAAGATCAACGTGATAAGCTCATGGTAAAGCTAAATAGCAAAGATGCCCTAGTTAGAACCACAAAAACGACTTCCATTGAATTTTTTCTGAAATAAAAAATATTAATATAATAGAAAATCCCCTTGACGCGTTTTTTAAATCTAAACTCAAATGAGTATTTTTGATAATTTTTCTTATGTTAAAAATATGTGTATTATTAAATATTGCCTTGCCCTCAAGTGCTAGTGTTGCGAGATTATTTAGTAAGGCAAAACTTATACTTTCTGATAGTCGCTCTAGACTTGAGGATGATAGTATAAACATGATTTTATTATTAAAATGCAACAAAATAAATAAAAAATGAATATTACCATAAATATTTATTTTTATTACATTAATTTTAGTTTTTTTACATAAAATTTCTAATATCAATAACTTACCATATTTAAATATTTATAAATGTTGATTTTTGTGTATTAAAGCAAAAAATTTGCAAATTTATTTCTATATTTTTTTTATAAAAAGTAGCCTAAAAAGTAGCCAAAGCTATTTTTAAAAAATAGTAGCTAATAGCGCGCTACTTTTTTGATGGGTAAGGATAGCGGTAGCGTGCTACTTTATTGACAAATAGCATTAGCGGTAGGGCGCTACTTTTAAAAGTAGGGTTAACAACTCTGTTAAAAATGAGTAATGAAGTCAGAAAAAAATCCAATAGGAGAAACTCCCCGAATGTTAACGGTAGAATTCATTGAAGATGAAATTACTTTAATTGATTAAATTTATAATTGATTTGGATTTTTTAATATTTATATAGAATTTAAAAAAAATAAATGGGTTTTTCATATTGGTGTCTCCAATTTATTTTTAACCAATATATACATAAGAAGTGAAAACCATTAAATTCAAATTTACCTTCATGTTTATTAAGAAATTATACCAATTTCATATTTGTCCTCGTTTTTAATCTTTAGATAAATATAATTAAAATAATGGCATAATAATAGTTGGCTGGCAGGTTAATTTTTACAAAATATTTTTTTTTTAGAAATTTCTCGTTTAAATTGCGTCATAAACATAAAAAATTAATTCGAAAACTTTTAAAATCACGTTTTAGTAGGATGTAAAGATGTAGCAAAAAATTCATAGCTCCAGCGTTAGTTCCTCAAAATTTTAAAACAAGATTTGGACACAGCCTAATTATCAACATTTTTTTACAATAATTAAGGCGAGTAAAATAACTATATAAAAATGTTTTTAAATATATATGGAAATGTGTACAAATCATATTATGTTTTACTGATAGTTTGGAGAGATATTTAATAAATTTAATTATATACAAAAAATAGGATTCAATTTTAAAAAAAATTTTATAATAAAAAAAGATAAAATAAAATGGCATAAATATCTATAGGTAGATACAGATAAAAATATATATATACAGATACTTCTATATAATATATCTAGATACATTTTAAACAAAGTCTAAAATCAATATTGCATAATATAAAATTACCCAATTTTAACACTGTTTCACGATTTTTTCCTAAATACCAAGAGAAATTTCTCTTAATTATAGATTCTCGGGATATTTACATCTCTAGTAGAGATTACTATTAATTAGTCAATCTTATAGTGGATATATTAATTATATAAAAGGTCTTATAATTCTTAAATTGAAATTGGAATGTGCCCTTTTTTAGAGAAAAATAACAAATTCAAGTATTTTAATAAAATTAAATTATGAAATTGACTTACCGTGCAGCTTATTGGTTATTATTTCGGGTGCTAAATAATCGGGAGTTCCCAAGATAGGTCTAGTAGAATGCTGAAAAGTTTTGTTGTTAGAGCCCATAATTTTCTTCCTAAACTGGGGTGCTGTCTTGCAAAATATAGGAGCCTTTTTATCGTGCCACAACTCTTGACTGTCTGCGCCTGGAGTGCTCAAAACGGTTGGATCTTTGTAATATAGCTGGTTGTATTTTGTAGGCGATAGTTCATTATCATCATATGATAACGCCATAGTCACGTGGCGTATTGTTGAATCGTCATTTAAATTATTTGTTGAGTTTTCAAATCTTTCGCAGCTTTTAATATTTATAATTTTTTGATTTGGTGGTGTGTAAACTTTGGATAAAGATTCACTTGGAAAATATTTTGGGCAAGCCACACCTTTTTGAACGTTTATAATATTTTTGTCTACTAGTATATTTTTCTGATGGGCATTATGATGCAAAGGTGTGATATCATAAGTTTTGTAATTGTCATCAATTCTTGCATCTTGCGTTTTGTGAGAATTCTTGTAAGATTATGCACAAGATGGGTATTTAAATAAGTGTAAATGTATGTAATAATAAATTTAGCTGTTTTTAAATTTGCCATGTTACCCATCCTTTTGAAATTACTTAATAAAGGTGGCAAGGGTAGTGGAAAATCCATGAACTAGTATTTGGGTTTAAGATGAAAATAAGTGCTTAGAGATAATTTAAATAACACAAATACTCAAATTAAATATTCTTTACGAAGTTGCCAGGCTTCAGATACAGATGTCGTCTGAGTTCATTTATAAGTATAATCGCTCAAGGGTCCTCTAAACCTTGAGATATAGTAAGTGTCATGACTAGATACATTTTTAAAATCTTTCGGGTTAACTCAACAATTATGAAACTAAATTTTTATACTTTGATTTATAGTAAAATAACTAAAAGAATTTATAAGTTTAAAACACAATTTATTTAATACTTAAAAGATATATTTATAAAATCTTTATTAAATTATAGAATTAAAAAATTAATTAATTACAAATACAATAAATAAGGACAAAAAAATTTAGTCCCTTTAAATGGAAAATAAAAGGCATAATTATAACTTAAAATATAAGTGAAAAAAATGAGTTTTTGAAGAAAAGAGTTGTTTTAGTTTTATCTTATATAATTAGGAATAAAATCAATTCCCCTATACTACTCGGGATGCTAATTATATCCCCAGATTGAGAACAATCTCAGGGACCTAAATATTTTAATAAGGAAATCATATATTAATAAAAAAATTTAAAAAATAATATTATGTTTTCTTACTTTAAAGATTTATTTAACACACGAATAAGGACTGATCTTAATATCTTCATTAATGCTTCCGTAAATCCAATAATAAGTATTTTAATGCTATACTAACCTTTAGTTAAATTTTAGATTCCAGCTCAAAATATTTGAAAGGGCATTGCCATTGTAACTCAAAATGCAGTGTGAAATAAACCCCTGCAGGTTGGGATTGCTAGAAATATTATTAAAACTTTTTTGAATGAATTACATTTTTAAATTTTGAAGGTGTAAAAAAGAAGTAATATGATTTGGTTACGTGTGAAGTTTAACATTCTTCATTTTTAATAATCGGAATAATGGTCCAACAAATAAAAAAAATTGATTTCTTAATATATAAATTAGATTTATAAAAAAAATTTGATTCGATTTTTTAAGGTGGATATTATTCCCATCATATTAAAAAAATTTTACCAATTATTATGAATAAAAATTATATTCCCATTTTGTTTATTAAAAATTTATGCATCCTATTTAATTTATTATAAAATTTTAATATTAAAGGTTTACCAAAATTTATGATTCTTACTCTAGAATAACTATTAAGTAATTTTTTCTTATTTATCAAAAGAAATATTAAAAAATGTTGGGTTGGAGTAATCGTTAAAAAATTTGATGGATTTGATTCTCCATTTATATTAGAACCTAAAATGATTTTCAAAAATCATTTGATTTAATTTAAATTGTTTCTGTAATATGCAGAATTTATAATTAAGACTCTTAGATCCAGGAAACACTCAAGACTTCATTATTAATAGGAGCTAAACCCAATGCAACAAGTTTTAATAAAAAGTGCAACTAATTTAAATAGATATCTCTTGTGTGATTAATGTTCAATTTTTATGTAAAAAAATAAACTAAAAAAACATTCTGATTGAATAAGGAATTAATATTAAAATGTAAATTGTTTTCTAAAAAAAAAAATGAAGGCTTAGATAAATAAATAACAAATTTATGTGTTTCATTATTTTAGCTCTCCAAACCATGAATAGAACTCCTAAATCTCTTTTTTTCGTGAAAGGGTTCACATGTCTGCTTGTTACACCATTTAAATAATATTTTATTCTTTAAATTGATTTAAAAATAAGTATATGAATTGGAATTTTATCCCTCAAGTAAAATTTTAGGGAAATATATCATTATAATCATAATTGTAAAATACCAATTTACAAAATTAAAAGTAGATTTTAAAGACATCATTTGCCCAGGTGTATGCTCTTTAATACTGTTGATATCTTTACTATTACTACTTGAATAGTTATGTTCAACTTTTGACAACCCAAAATCTGTTAACTTTATGTGGCCATTACCTCCTATTAAAATATTGTCAGGTTTAATATCTCTAGAATGTATAAATTTATAAAAATAGAATATTCCTCTCTACCTGTGAATAATACCCATTTTATGTATATAATCTAGAGCTAATGCTATTTCTGCTATGTAAAAAGATGCCAAAATTTCTGAAAAATAGCCCATGCTAAGTAAAAAGGATTTTAAATCACCCCCAATCATAAAATCCATAATCTTAAAAGCAATATTAAAAAATGAAAAATTATATCATTTTTACCAAATATAGACAATTTAGGGTTTGAAGAGAATAGTAAATATTTACTATAAAATTACTATTACTTATAGTCATAGCTTTTCGCTCTGCAAAAGCTTAAAAATATATTAAATTATTATTAAAGTCAAGAATTTACCTTGTCTTATCATATTTTTTTTTATCACATCATCTTTTTTCATTATTTTGATTGCATACAATTTTTTATTATTAGTATTTTTATAACCTAAAAAGACTTTGCCAAATGAACCTCTACTAATGGGTTTGATTATAGTAAAATCAGTTATCAAGGGTATCTATAAAAAATATTTCATTTCAATTTGTTTAATTGATAATAACGAGTTTTTGTGCATTATTTTCTTTTTCCATTACCTTGAATGGTCTTTGGTTTCATGATACTATACAAGTAATATTAAGCTGGAATCAGTTTGGTAAATAATTGGTCGATGATAGGTCCCCCAAAGCGTAACTAAACTGAGAATTGACATGTATATTGAGAATGGAAAGGTAAACTGGGAATTGACAGGTAAATTGAGAATTGACCATTGGAATTGACAAACGAAGAATTTACAGGTAAAATTTATTTTTATTTCATAGCCTATCAATTATATTTTAAATATATAAATATAATGTGTTTATTATATAAATCAAATTTACAAAATTAAAATTATCCAGTAGAGTTACTGGGGAGGGGGCAGGGGCTACAGCCCCCTTAGAGAAAAAGGTTTTCTTCTTAATGGCTCTCTAATTTCACCATGAGCTAAAAAAAAATTTGATAGCCCCCTGAACGATTACTTTTATAATTTCATTAAGTATACATATAGATATAAATCACTTATTTAACAATTAATTAGACTATATAAATTTTTATTAAATAAGTGCTATTTTAATTATAAGATTAGATTAATAAATATAAATTATATTTTATTATTTAAAAATTAGAATATCTAAATATTTATTAAATGACAATTTTATTTATTAGATAACATTAATACATATAAATTATAAATACTATATCAGCTTGCAATCAAATTCCGTGCTAAAAATGGAATATCAATATCACTCATAATGTCTAAATATTAATTTTGCATTAATAGTTGAAGCGTAATTGATTTTTATTTTATTATTTAAATTATTTTATAAACCTAATTAAAAAAATATAATCATTTATTAATTGAAAATAACAAATTCATTTTAATTAGCCCAGTTCAAAATCATTAATCAACTATATTATTCCTTTTTAAATTTAATTACCATGTCTCTTCCTAAATATATTTTCAAGGTCCAAATAAGTATAAGAGATTTCTTTATATATATATAGTAAGTAGATTGGTTATAAAATATTATGTAAAATGCCACTTTTATATATTTGACTAAATTAGAGTTAATATTTTAATAAATTTTACATATAAATGTTTTTAATTATAAATATAAGTAACAATTTAGAGCCGAAGGCCCGCAAATTGGAGTGTATGGGGGCGAAGCCTCCCATAAATTTTTTTTTAGTTGAGCCCCCTGAGATTGTAAAGGCTAGTGACGCTCCTGAAATTATCTAAGTAAATAAAATAGAATATGGAAGAAAAAGGGGTCAACACATTTATAAAATGTATAAAACAGATATATTATATAGAGAATATAACACTCATAATAAAATTTTAAATCATAAATAAATTTCCGTCAGATGGATAGATTTAAAATTTAGTATTTAATTAAAAATAATATAAATTGAGCATAATATTTTCCTTTGGATTAATTTATTTGGTATAAACTTATATAATGATAAAATATAAAATTTGAAGTTTCCATCATTATTTTTAGAGTTATGATGTCCATTTTCAGTTTAGACATTTTTTTTTATATTTTAGGGTTTTAAAAAAACATTATTTTTTTAAACTAACTTATATAAACATAAAATGAAAATTTTTTAAAGATTCCATCATTAATTTTTGGAGTTATGATGTCTATTCTCGGTTTAGTGATTTCTTTTTAGATTTTTGGTTTAAAAAATATATCATTTTTTTGACTCATTTAAAATAAATGGCATAATTTATTTGTTATTGAATCGGAAAACTAGTTTACTTCAATTAAAATTAAGGAGCTCTTAAAAGGGCCGCAGGGTATTTATAAGTTTTAAAAAAGACCATTAAGTATTTATATCATTAATAAAGACTCGTCATAAATGCTAAATACAGATATGATAATATATAATAATAAAATATTAAATCAATTAGAAATAGCAATATTCCACAAATTTTATTAATTATAATCTTATAAAAAAATAAATAAGATAAATAGAAAGTAATTATAAAGTTTCACAACAAGATAAGATGGTTTCTTGCTTGCACGTAATTAATCTTAAAAATATGAATTATTTGTTAAAGCCAGGAGGATCGATAATTGTTAAAAATATATAAATTATTTTTAATAAATATAGGGAAAATTATTTAGCTAATATTAGGTGTATTAATTCTTGGAAATTAAATATTTATAATAATAAACAAATAAATCTATGACCTTATTGTTTTCGTTCTTTCCGCTTTGGCTCTTTCGGCTTGATTAGGTTATTTTTTATCCCAAAGGTTTCACTATAGCTAATAGTTCACATTTTTAGGTAATTGTTTTCCATTACTATTTTCTTTTAGTATTTTCAATAATTGCCCAATTTTCAGCAGGATGATATATCTAATGCCTTTGTTTGATAATAAGGGCCCAACATACATGTGCCTCTTTCCAAGTCTTTTTTTCCATATTAAAACAATATCATTTATTTTATTTATCATTATATGTAAAGGAGTTTTTTTCCAATCATATTTTGTTTTAATACATTTTTTATACTTTCACAATTAATTTAGGTTTAGAGTGATAAAATTATTATATTTTTTAAAGGTAAATATACCATATTATAAATTTCCTCTCTCCTTTGGCTATACTCCTTTAAACATGCATCATAGTTTATTGGTCATCCGTCTATTTTATATCTGTATACTTTAGAGAGTATATCATCTCGCATTGTTTCTCTTTCAATTTGCATTCAAAAGTGTTTCCCATCTATTTGATCAAGCGTTTCTTCTTTTTATATTGGGGTTCCCTTTATAGGTAATCTAGATAGCATGTCAGCATTTGCTATTTGTAGACTATTTTTGACTTCTATTTCAAATTGGTAACCTGCTAATAATAAAGCCCATCTTTGTATTTGGCAGTAGATGTTATTGGTATATCTTTTCTTAGATGTAATAAACTTATTATTGGCTTGTGGTCTGTTTGTAATGTGAACTTTTTTCCAAACATAAATTCTTTGAATTTTGTAACCCCAAATATGATGGCGAGAGCTTCTCTTTCTATTTGGCTAAAATTTTTCTCAGCTGCATTTAGTGTTCTTGAGGCGAATTCAATTGATCTCTCCTTACCCCCCTCTATATGTGATATTACTGCCCCAATTCCTATGGGCGCATCTATTACTGAATGGGTAATTTGAATCATATTGTTGTAATATTGAAGTACTACTTATTTCTTGTTTTATTTTTTTATAGTCTTTGCATTTATTAGTCCATCTCCAAGCAACTGCTTTTTCTAATAATTTGTATAATGGCTTGGCTTTGGCTGCAAAATTCGAAATAAATTTTGAATAGTATGTCGCTGACCCTAGAAATGACTGTAATTGTTTCAAGTTTGTTGTTTCTGGTGCTTTTTTTACTGCCTCAATATTTTTCTCGGTAGTTGTAATCCCATTTTTTGAAATATTGTGTCCTAAATACTCGATATTTTGTTTGAAAAATTTATTTTTCTATTTTTAGCTTGATTCCATTTTCATCTAGACATTTTAGTACCTTTTTTAAATTTGTTTCGTGCTTCTCTCTATTCTTCCCGGTAATTATAATATCATCTAAATAATAAGCTACTCTTTCAAAACCTTTTAATAAATTCTCGATGGCTTGTTGAAATATAGCTGGAGAAGACGATATACCAAAAGGTAGTCTTGTATATATAAATAATCCTCTATGCATATTGATTACAAGATATTTTTGAGACTCTTCCCCCACTTTAATTTGAAAATAGGCATCTGCGAGATCCAATATTGAAAATTCCTTTCCTTTTCCCAAACTGAAATTACAAGTCAAGATCGTTATCCGAAAAACAAACGAAACCCAATAGATTGGGGATAAATGATAAGTATTGAATTGTTGTTTTGTTAATTTGTATTTTTTATAGCTGTTTCTACTGCAGTAGCTATTTAGCTTTATTTATGTCTATATCAACTTCAGATAATAATCTTTGTAAAATTTTAGGATTTTTTATTCCGAATATAAATTTATCTTTTTATGCAGTATTTAAATATTCCCTTAATTCATAAGTCGTTGCTAATTTTCGAAGATTTTGTATATAGTTTATTAATTTTTCCTCATTTTTTTTACAATAATATATACCAGAATTCTTTTACTCTTATTTCAAGCATAGCGCCATCAATATTATATATTTTTTTATAAAAATTTAAATAAAATTAAAAAAAACAAAAATGTCAATTTTTGACTAAACAGTAGGGCGAGCTGGACAAAGCCAAGGACTAATTTATTACCTATCAGAACTAATATTAAAAGAAAATCCCATATTTATGTAGATTTTTATTTACCATCTATCTTTGTATCAAGTCATAAAAATATCAATATTTTCTATTTAAAAAAAATAACCAAATCATATTATTACTTTATTTTTTTCCAATTCAAGGCAAGTTTATTTTGATTTCTATTTAATCGCTCAGAATTAAAAGTGAAATGATCAGAAAAAAATCAGTGAATGCTCAAAAAAAAAGGCTCAGAATTATTTCTTAATGCTCAGATGAAAAACTTTATTGTCGAGAAAAAACTCTGTATAGCCCAGAAAAAATTTATTGAACTGTAACATACAGATTAAAAAATGAACCTCAGAAAAATATGTGAAACTATCAGCAAATCGTTTTAGATTTAAGAAAAGTGTTGAAATTCAGCAAAAATTCTGTGCATTTTTAATTTCGAGCAATTAAGAGGGAAAAATTTCAGCGTTTCAATTTTTATTCAGGGAAATCTTTTTTTTTTAGATAGTTTAGAAAAATTTCCAAACTTAATTAGACTTATTTAAATTATGTATTTATAATATTTATACACAAATAGAGTATCAAACTAAATAAAAAAATTTTTGATCGTTTTGTTTTAAAAATATTTAATTTTTTCTACTTTTACAGTAGTTAAAATGTTTTAAATGATATACTTATAAATGATATATTTTGTATAATTGTAATATGATAATTTGAATTATATAAATTTTATTTATCAAATTAAAATGCACACCTTACATTATTATAATAAAAAAAATATCTTGGGAAGATATATCTGTGTATAGCACTTTTAGGCCATATATCTATACCTATATACTATTTAAGCCAGCATCTGTATTTAAATATATTTGAAAATTTTTTAACAACTAGTTTCCACCAAAAATTTT